TGGCTGCCGTGGGGCGCCGACCGGGCCATCCAGCAGTTCGGTCGGTGCAGTCGGGAGTCGCCGCGGAGACTTGCGACTCGCTAGGATATCACTCACTCTTGCCATGTGACCCGCAGGAAGAACTCACAGGTCCAACCAGGTCACGGCTCCGGAGTACGTCTTCCTCATCTCCGAGCTGGCCGGCGAGCAGAGATTTGCCTCGATCGTGGCCAAAAGATTAGAAAGTCTTGTATGTGAACGCTTCTCGGCGCGGTTCAGTTGTTCCGTTTTCACCGTGGATGTCGGCCTGACTGTGGCGGATTCTCTCCAACAGGGGGCGCTCACCCACGGCGACAGAAGAGCCACGGAGACGCGAGATCTCAGCAGGTTTAACTTTGACAACAAAGTAAGCGCAACATGCTGGCTTTTCATAGAATAGGCGTGTCTATCGTGAGCAGATATAATATGTATAAAAGCTGCCGCGACTTTCAAAACCCAGGAAGTGGCAGTTTTTGACCATGGGCTCCTTGAGTTTTTAGCCCCTTGCTACCTAATTTGAACCATGTATGATGTGCGAGTCGGAGCAGGAGACCTTTGTCTTCCCTGTGTTTGGGTGAGTCAACCGCTCACATTTGTCTCGTTGCAGTACGGCCGCAACGCTCTGGAAATCGTGATGAAGTCGATAGTGAAGCTCGACACGCCGCTCGTGTCGCCGCCCTCCGACTTTCAAGGAGATTTCTTCAAAGGTACCGTTCACTCGCAAACCTTTGTCACTCACGTGGGATGCGGGCTTAATACTGATTAAAACAAACAAAAAAAAAAATCCACGACGGCTTAAAAACACGCCATCTTGTAGGCGCACAAATGTTGAACTGTGATCTAGCCGAGGTTGACTGCATAGATTTCGTTTGAGAGGGCCTGATCGATTGACTTTGTTGTTTAGACGTTCAAAGGGGCTTGATAGGTGTGGGCCTCATCAATGTGGAGGACCGATACAACGCATTGTCCCTGGACAAAGGTGAGCTTCACAACTGGAAAGCATTGGACCGTATTTTCACGACCACACGGCGTAACGGCTTAAAGGGCGTCGTGTCACTTACGGGGGCTCACAAGGCGCATTGTGCAATCGGGTGTCCCACCTACTTGGGTGAAAACGGAAAGAATTTTAGGTGCGCCTTATGGTCGTGAAAATTGGGTATTTCGGCATCCCGGCTGCTGTTAGCTTTGCGCTGCATTTCACGTGATCCGTCCCTCCCCCACTAGACTATAACAACATTGGGAAGTTCCTGAACCGTATCCTGGGCATGGAGGTGCATCAGCAGAACGCCTTGTTTCAGTACTTCTCCGACACGCTGGCGGCCGTCATCCAGGAAGCCAAGCGGAACGGCAGATTCGACATGGGCATTCTCGGTGCGAGGCGTCACCCCACACCCCCCAATTTGTCGATGTCTGCTCTTGACAAGGAACAATCCAGCTAAAATGATTCTCTTTTTTTTTTTTTTTTTAAATAAAGATCTCGGTTCCGGTGATGAGAAGGTGAAGAAGGTGGACTGCAAAAAGTTCCTGACCCCGGGCTACACAGCGTCAGGCCATGTTGAACTCTTCACGGTGGGTTTCTGTCAACGTATTTCGGCTGGGGACTAATGTACTTCAGTACATTTTTCTTCAGGTATCTGCTTTGCTTGAGCGCGTCAGAAAGGTCAAATCAACAGCAGTTGAGATTTTTATTGATTGGTGTCTGGGACTTCCAAGGCAGAACGTGAAATGCGGAATCATGGCTCAGCTTGCGGCTTGGTCGTTACCTGAGCCTCGAGTAGCCGTGATGTCCTTTTCTGTCGACCGCAAGTGGTTATAAAGGAGTCACTTTGCTGATGAATTCATATTCCACAAAACGACCTATTAATCAGAATACCCTCTCGTGGGGGCGCATTGAACATATTCTTGTCAAGATTATATTTCATTTGCCATCCCCTTAAGTCCTTTTCTTCTTTTTGAGTCTGTGCAGTAATGATTTGAAGTGCATCAACTTCCGTGAAAAAAGACCACCACTGCCGCCTTTTGTAGTGGCGGTGAAATTACACTTCTTGTATACCCACCCCCCTAAAAATGGTCCCCCGGGTCTCCTAAACATCCTCAGCCCCTCCCCTGCCATCAAACTAAACAACCCCCCCACCCCAAGTGAGGCCCGCCACTATTTGAAAGGGACGGACTTAGGAACATTGCATGACTGTTTACGTCTGTGGCAAAAAAATAAACTGAGTGAGGTTGCTGAGAAATTGTGTGTGGGCGGGGGCAGGTGGGCGTGGAACGGGGGATGTCCTGGGAGGAAGCGACGCATGCCTGGGCTGAACAGAACGGACCCGATGATGGTTTCTATGTGCAGGTATGATCGAATTATATATCATAGTAGTACCTTGACTTACAAGTGCCTCAACATTCAAGTTGTTTTTTTTTTTTTTTTTTTTCCAAGTT